CCCCCCCCCCCCCGCCGTTCTTCGCCGCGGAAGCCCCGCATTGCTACAGAGAGTCTGAAAAGCAAAATAAATTCTAAATCGTTTACTTGAGTGATGTGCAAGTTCGAAACAATACAAATTTTTCAGCCGGAAGACTTAATTCCAGTCCTGAATTTGAGTGATATTGAGACGGAAGTCGAAGATGCCGCTCGATCCGAATCTACTGCTACTGTCGTCGACGGATCGCCACGGGACATTGAATCTGCAAAACCATCAAGGTTTGGTACCACTTCAATTTTGAAAGTGCGTGGCAGAGACTCAGTTTATGACTGCTTGCAGATTTTTGCTGAACGACGAGCAATGGTTTTCCAGCGAAGTGCACCGTTTCGCTGAGCAAATTTGGGATTTATTCATCAAAAAGCAGCGTTTTGTTATCAGTCTAATCGGTGATGAAAATGCACCTGTATCACAGGAAACACAAATGAGGTACCAGTTTTGTTATTAGAAAAATTTTCGAGAATTCAGCCATTATCTTGAGATTATTGGAAAACTTCGGGTACTGGCAGTTATTGCTTTTATAATACTAACGATCAAGCGTTCGATCCCATTAGCGGTAAAATTGTTGTTTCGATAATAACTGATTCTTCTAAATTGCAAAAATTCATCAACTTGCTTATATGTAACTCTAAGAAGAAAGTACAGCTACTTCTTTGCTTGTGGATATCAGCATTTTGGCATTCATGCTACTTTTGAGGGGTTTTTCCACTCACAGAAATTGAAATGTGGGGAAGACGGGGGAGGGGAGAGGGGCGATAACTTCTAGTGCGAGACTTTAAATACTTACCTTATACTTTTCGAAGCGGCTGCTACTTCACCACTGGTTCCAGTGATGTAGACAAAAATCGTAATATTTTTCTTTATTTCTTGGTTATTGTGACAACTGGTCAAAATAACCAAAAAATAAAGAAAATATTACGATCTTATACGATCTTACGATCTTTGTTAATATTGCGGTCTTGGAAAATATTACGATCTTACGAAAATATTACAGTCTTTCTTGATTATTTTGATCATTTATTTCTTGGTTATTTTGACCACTGGCTTCATCATCTGATAAGCAGCTTTCTTTCAACTTTGAAACTGATAATTTTCTGAAGAAATTATCGGCTTAGTGGCTCATTCGATACAAACACTTTGGCAAAGCTTTAGTTTTGTGTTTTTTTTTTCTTTGAAAATTATGGAGAGGAATTTAAAGATTTCAAATTCAGCCCCCAACTATGCGTGGCTCTCAAGTACAGGCCCGTCAAAATTTTTTGCGGAAAAGCTGCTAATCAGAAACCAGAGAAACAGAAAAGCTGAAATTTTAAGAGAATTCCCCTGTTCAAGCAGCACCTAGTTGCACAGTTAACATCCTGAACTTCGATGTCACAAATTCTAGCTACTAGGATTCCAGGCGATCGTACTACAGCACGAAGTTTTGCAAAAACGCATGATTGCACGGACTTCGCTAGTGCGCGTCGCCAGAGATTTTAATTATTGCCGCAGTATTTTGCCTCCATTTAATCAGTCTTCAGAAAGCATATCAACTTTAGGCAAATGTTGGCAGATAGATGCTGCGAAATAGCGCAACAATGCTTCCGGGAAGCTGGTCGTAGTCGCCGATTAGGATTTGCAGATAGCAGCTTATTCCAGCCACAAAGTTCTTCGCAACTGGAACGTATTCTTCAAAAGGAGACAGCTAAATATTGCACGGGTAAACAAAGTTTCCAGTTACCATCAGCTTACTTCTAAGGGGCTCTCGAAAAAGGGATAATCGAAGCATTAGATGGTTGGTATATGCTAATATGGGGGTATTTTCGGATTTTGCTTTTTTTTGAGAGGAGATGTAGAGAGATTTTGACTTTTGACTGAAGTAAGCTTCATTATGGCTGTTGTCTTTGAACTGGTCAGTAAAAATTCGTTTATTGCTAAGCCAATTGTAGCAACTAAGTTGGCCCAGAAAGTTTAAGTGGCGAAGGGGCGATAAAATACATAAAAAAAGGACAGTATGAGAGAAGGTAAGAGTGAGATAAGACGTTTCGGTACATTAAGTCATATACATCTTAACACTGCGAC